CCAGGTTCAGGACGAGAAGCCGTGCTAAAGGGGAGAACCTGCAAGAGGTGGCACAAGACTTGGAAAGCATGGCACACAAGGCCTACCCAACTGCACCACCCTATCTCCTCAAGTTGTTGCTGAGGGATCAGTTTGTAGATGCCTTGGACAGTCCACAACTTAAGATACAAGTGGAGTAAGCACACCCCTCTACCATGCAGGATGCAATGGCCAGAGCTCTTGAATTTGAATCCTACGTTAAGTCCAGCACAGAGGTACCGAGGTTGGTACAGTCATCTGTATTCAAGGCCAGAAAAGGTCAGCTTTCAGAGAAGTTTGAGGGACTTTGCTGGCACTGTAACAAACCTGGGCACAAGAGAGCTCAACGCTGGAAACTTCAACACAGGGGAGGTGCCACAGCAGGAAAGGCTGGTATCCAGAAAGGTTGTTGGAACTGTGGAAAGCACGGACATTTGAGGAGCCAGTGTAGGAAGAATATTACCAACAAGTCGGCCTCAAGGAGACCAGTAGTGGTTGGTGCTGAGGGACGCCCACCAACCTCCATCGTGAAAGTCCCAACAGCTAAGTGTAAAATGGCAAGCACCCATAGTGTCTAAGTGACAGGAAAGCTGGATGGCCAAAGGTGCAATTTTGTCATAGATTCTGCATCTCAGCTCTGTGGTGTGACAGGACATTATGCAAGGTTGTGGGGACCAGTGTGGGTAACTATTCAGCTCATGAGCATGAAGAAAAGACAGAAAGTATACTTGGCTGACATTGAAGACCAGTGCATATTAGGATTGGACTATTTACTACCGAGGAAGTGTGTAGTTAACCTTGATAAAATGACGTTTGGAAACAACAAAGGCCAGACTCCAGTAAGTGTTCCTGCATGCATTGATCTGCATGTCACAGTACTTAAATCAACTACAAAATAATGTCAGAGAAGATAATTTGGGGTAGGATAAAAGAACATCCCCATGGAAGCCCAATGCTTGTGGAAGCTGTGGAAGACCCATCCAGGCCAGCGGATTTGAAGATTGGAAGGTCACTTGAGGCAGATCATCAAGTAGTACCTATAACAGTGGTCAATTTCTCTAAATGTGAGCAGACACTTAAGGAAGGGGCATTGTTGGGTGTGTGCCAGGAGGTAGAGCCAGTCAATGTTAAAGCAAGAAATACAACTGTAAAGAAAGGGCACACACTTCTAGAACATTTAAATGACCTCTATAAGAAGAGCATAGTCCATTTGTCATCATCACAGGATCTTCAGGTTAGAGAACTTTTGGCGAATTATGCAGACGTATTTTCGAAAGATCATGACCTCGGCTGCACAGACCTTGTGGATCACAGAATAAACACAGGCAATCACCGTCCAATAAAGATCCCTTCGAGGAGAATAGCTCCAGCAAAGCGACAAGACATGGAGAAGGCCATGGATGGCATAATTAAGGAAGGGATAGTCGAGAAATTAGATAGTCCCTAGTCAGCTCCCGTCGTGTTAGTCCAGAAGAAAGATGGGACCCAACGTTGCTGTGTGGACTTCGGGGCTCTTAACAGTATAACCAAAAAAGACTCATA